GGGTATGGTATGTATAGCAGCCTTCCAGCTGGAAGTGAACTGGGATCTTTATGAGTCTGTGGCGACTCTTTAATTATCTCAGATACGCCTGCATGCGCTGTTAATCACATCAGAGGTATTTGATTTGTCTTAATCATATTTGTTCATGGCCGCGCGCTGGCGATTAGACGCCTTCTCCACAGGATCTGTTTTGCCTGTGCGAGTACAAAATGTGTTTTTATTTATGACCGTGGAAGCCGTCTACACCATGCCGCCATCGTCGACCTTTATCTTGACAATAAAGAGACTTTTGACAGCCACTGCAATCAGAATTTCTTCCAAAGTGGCATAAAGAAGAGAAAACGCAAAACTTGTCGTTGTTTTCAAAAGTTCGTAATGTTTCAACCCAAAACTTTGACATATTTTATAGACCAACATGAGAGGCTGCATAAATATGAAGTGAGAAGATGAGATGCACTGTTTTAAAACTGGTTGAACTGCACTTCTTCTTTAAATCTGGGATGTGCAGAGATCTACAGCTCAGGTTGGTGAGTCTGCTGAATCTTGTGTTTATGTAGGGGAGACAAAAAGAAACAAATTGTTGAAAGAAGAGTAATAAAGAGTCCTGGTCACAGTTTGCCGCAAACCCAGAGGATACAGCAAACATGCGATGGAAGGTGCTTACCTTGAATGAAAAGAGCTCATTATAAACTAGTCTAACACTCCTAGAAACGGTTGTAAACGGCATAGCGAGGAGCACTGTTGTGATGACGTGCTGAAGATGGAGTGTCGGAAAAAGCAGGAGCTTCTTAAAGAGACAGAGGCATATTTCAAAGCATTAAATTAGAAAGGAAGTTTTCTTTTAATTTATGTTGAGGATATGTACAGTGTTTGTATTACTGAAAGTAACTGAAGTTACTTGACTGTGCTACAGAATAACACTACGTGCCTCTATCACTACAATTATTCTCTAGCTTGTGTTAGTCTATCACAGAGAATCCTAATAAAACTCCTCATGTTGTTGATTTTAACAAGACAAACTGTGGAGAAAATGATGTTATTTTAAAGAGGACAAAAATTTCAGTCTCTCAATGCACAAAAGGTGAAGAGACAAACTGACTCACCTTTAAAGAGGGTCAAGTCAGGTCAAGGAAACTACCTAATGCCACCTGAAGGGTGCTGAGTGACACACTTTTCAAATGATCACTTGTCAAAAATGCTCATTATTTGTTCATTTTCTTTCACTTTGCTAATCTGGACCACTTTGGGACCTGTCGCTTTGACTGGTCCATAAGATACATTATAATTTATAGTAATTATCCACATTTGAAAAGTGTTGTGCATGAATATTTTGAAAGGTCTGTAGATCTAACATGAGAAAAAACAACCTTCAGTTTCTTACAAACTCAAAACTGTAACAGTGTTACAAAAACAACAGTTCAAATCATTTTAAGTTACCGGTAATATGGAAAAAACAAAACCTGTCCCAAAGACCCGAGCATCAGCATAATACATCATTACCTTCTTCCGCTGGCAGACGCTATTTTTGGAGCGTGAATTGAAATGGCCACATCCTTGATAGAAGATACCTATTCTTCAGCACAAGCCCTTCTGCCGCTGAGGTTATCATCAGTTCATCGAGGCAACGTGGAAGCGAGAGACAATACCTTTCCTCGACTTCAACAGGCTCTTGGGGTGGATTGCATCATTTCAATGAAACCTGCAGCACCTTGAACTCTGCATAATTCGTAGAGGAAGAGACCCCCGCGTCCTTTATGAGATTGTCAGATGCTGTTGTGATCAAAACAGACGTGAATAGACCTTGGCGTGGCGAGTACTTCTCTGGATCACATCAGCTGTGTGCGTCTTCCCTTGTAATGGTAAAATAATTAGTTTCGTCAGTTCGACCTGTCGTCCTTCAAGGAGCTCTGGTTGTAATGGAAAGACTTAAAAACGCCTGAGAAACTGGGGTTGAATTGATTAATCGCAATTAATCGATTGTTGCAATAATTGTCTGCTAATATAATAATTGTTTGCAATCGATTAATCGTTAACTAAAACAGACTAAAAAAAAGGCCATTTGCTGAAAAAACTAATTCAGAGCAGTAATTAAGTCAAAACTGTACAGAAATGAATAAACCTTTGTCTGTAAAACCACTCAGATTTATTAAAGCGATGCTATGCTGTAGCATTTTAAGCAACAAAATGTTTATTGTCTTATTTACAAAAAGGAATAGAATTACATGATTACATTTCCATGTTTTGATGTATTTCTAATATGGATAAAAAAAGGCTTAACTGGTTGAATGGAAAATCTGTACAATGTACCATTTTTTCTGCGATTAATTGTCAGAATCATCGATAGATTAGTCGAGTACTAAAATAATTAATTAGAGCCCTAATTTGTATCAATGCAACAATCATATATGAGTTTATGTTTACAAAAAAGCATATGGCCTGTGCTAGCTTACAGGCAGAATAAAAATGCGACATATTTTGCATGTTTTATTAACTACTTTTATATAAAAATAATGTTTAATGTTGTTTAATTTGATATTAACAGCTTGAAATCTTATTTCATACCAAAGTAAAGACATTATTGAGCCAAAGAACAACATTTGTTAAGAATGGCAGACATAAACTACCTTACGTTACTCAGGTTTAGAGTTACATGTGCATCTCATTCTATCCTGTAAACTGTAGGATTTGTTTTTTTGGACATTGTACATTCATTTCAAACCCCTGATAAAGATGTATTTAAAAAGTTTTAAATTTGATTCACATTTTTCTGTAGCAGCATTTAAAAACGTAAAAAAAATTTGAAATTCCAATCTGTTTATTGGAGTATATTACTGAGTATATAAAACCCGGCTAAGAAATAATGACATGCACAACAATCAATGGCCAATTACAATCTAGAAATAAGTTGTTAGTTCACTAGCAATAAAACGTACAACAAATAACTAAAATAAATGTACATATTAGTCATTTTTTGAAGCCAGTCGTATGACTTTCTTTCCTTTCTTTCCTAGGTATAATGTGACACAATGGCCCAATTCTCAGAGCCACTATTCAAGATGGGAAAGACGAGAGTGTTGTAGTTTTGGTTGGTCTGTGGTTGGAAAGAGGATCAAAATGAGTCCAGACTGTGAAAGAGGAGAAATATTGAGATGTCAGATATGTATTTTCTACCAGTTCTATTGAAGCACAAAGATGTTTAACCTCAGGGAGAGAGGAGCAAAACATATAAAGCGATACTGTCACTGCTGATTGGCTTGAGCACAGGGTGAAAAAGGAACGAATGTTTGAAGAAGGACTCCCACAGGACACGGTAGGACTGACTGTCAAGCGGCACCTTTTTACAGAGGATGTTTTGATCTTCACATATCAGGACACGGCTGCAACACGGTAGCCAAGTTGATAAACTTGCCCCTTCTGTGATTAACTTCTATTACTTGTCTATTAACAGGTATTTTACACATTCCTGCCGATTTACATGCCTATGTAGATATAATATTAAATTGAGTTTTTCATGCTGGTCTTTGAACTGTACTTTTTTTTTTAAATGTGGATCATACAGCAAATATGACCGTTCCATATTTGGGGGTATTGTGTAATATTTATGTTTTTGAGCTTTTCATCATGTTGTAATGTTATTCTCTCATCAAAACCTTACCTGGAGCATCGCTTTGACTCTTTCAAGCATGCTTGATGAATCCTTGAATCTCCCCTCAGCAGCCATTTGGGGGAACCTGAACACTTGCTCTCATGAAGCCTATTTCCAAGCTGCCTCCTCTCCTCTCTGCTCCTCCAGACTAGCGGTAGCAGCAATTAACAAACACCTGGTAGAAACGCACTAGAGCTCATCATATGAACTACTTCTGACTCCAACACTGCATGAATGGTTGTGAACAGCATAATGAAAAGCAAAACTGTGACGCTCAAGGCGGAGAGTCGGAGAGAGCAGGAGCTTCTTAAAGAGACAGAGGCCCAATTTCAAAGCGTCAAATTGCGAACTCAGATTCCTTCTAAGTTATGTTTGATTCATACAGCACTTTTATAACTATAGGTAACATAGCTGCTTGACTGTGCTATAAAATGGCACTATATGTGTAAATACACAATACACCACCTTTAACAGACCTGGATCCAGACATTTAAATTTAAAGTTCATTTTGTACATAGAGGCTCAGATAAATGCATACACATATTGGCCCATAGCAAGTCTGAGCTCCACTATGCACTTTTTGCAGCCGTTGACAAGTTTCTGGATTTTTGACTCAACTTTTCAGCATATTCTGTACATGTTTAATAGGGTGGAGGCCGGGGTCCTTACAGAAAACTAATTTTAACTAAAGCCAATTTGGATGAACTAACATCATCGTCCTGTTGGAGCTTTCATCACTAAAGTCAGTATTTGTAAGGTCAGCCATGTGGGCAACAGAGAAAATTCATCATAAATTTAAATAATAACAATATGTTTGCCATGTCACAAGTACAGATATCTAAAATCCATCACTTTATATCTCATTGTGAATCTGAAAAAGTAAACTTAAACTTTTATCCATGGTTAGTAAAATGTCACTTAACCGATTGTGCATTTCCTGTTGTCTTCCGGGAAAACAAAACTCAGAACCTCCCCGTGCTGAACTGGCCCCGGATAACCGGCTCTATACGGCGCTCTGCCGTTAGGTGTCGCTGTGCGCGTAGACTCTCGGCCGGGGCCGCGTGTTTGGTCCGATCGGACCCCAAAAAATACAGCCCCAAAGTGTCAGATAGTCCTGTTAACACGTGAGAAAATCTTGACTTGCGGAGAGAGGGGAACTGAGACTGGGAGACGCAAAGACGGAGAGAGTCCTGGAGAGACATCTCTTCCTTTCTCTCTCTGGGCTTTTCGCAGGACTCCGGTGGAGAACAGCGGAGATTACAGCGGCGGCGGCTGGAGGGGGGGCGCGGATGCCGAAAAGGAGCGAAGGCGCGCGGCGGGAGCACCAGACATGAGTCCGAGGTAAGAGAGAGGGGGCAGGGATGGCATCCAGACCGCAGGGATGAGTTCATCCAAGGGTTTCTTATATGGCTTCCTTTTAAATCTTTTTGAATGAAGCGGACGCGGACCAACCATGTGGATTTGACTCATCCGTGTATCTAAAAAAAATGATATTTTTTAAATTTAAAAAATGAAGCTGTAATATTTGCTGAAAAGTGGTCGAGAACATTTAGCAATTAAAAAGAAACTCGAGAATAAATAAGGTAAACAAAGTTCAAACATTGTATTAACACGTCCTAAATGAAAAGGAGATACAAACATTTAATTTAGTATATTTATCATATTTACAGTTATTCGCCCCGAAGGCCCTTTGCGTAAACAACCCATCGGCTGGATCCGTCTCAGCTGACGATTAGAGGACTTAATGCTGCACAGCAGGTGTCCAGTCAAACCTCCTACTGGCTCTATTGTCTAGAAATTGAACATTTGTAGCTTAATGTTAGGGGATTTTCTTACATATTTGTGAAAAAGTGGACGACCTTTTCCTTCTCCTTTTAGCAATTAGAGTAAATCAGAATACAAATGAATCAATTTCTCAGAATAAAATGAAAGTCAAATTAATTAGTTGAAATTGCATCTCAGGATTAAATTGAAATAAATAAATACGACGTATTCCTTGATAGTATTTTTTTTATTTATCTTTATTTCCCCCCCCCGCAAATTATTTCCCCAACATCTCCAAAGTTTACCGTCGGATCTACACGACGGCTGCCTGTCCCTTTAAGACGATGTGTTGAGGAGTTCACGTCGGGGTCACTTGAAGTTCCTGCCCTCGATTTTACCTTTTAGTTTTATTATAGACTGACATCACACGGGGCGCTAAAACACTTAAGGCGCACAGAGGCTCCATTATCATCTCGGTCCGCGTTATTGGGCAAACTCAAAAATAGCTAAGGAAATTAAGAGATAGAGAAAAAATAAAAAAAGAAAAGAGAGAAAGAAAAGAGGGGGGGAGATGATGCTGTTGCGAGCATATATGAATATATATGTTTTTTTCTCTTAAAGAATAAGAAAGAGAGGCGGAGCAGTGAGAGACAGTGGGAGGAAGAAAAAAACGTAGGTGGGAGGGAGGACGGACCCAAGGAACGAGAAGAAATTCATATCAATTAATAATCATAAAAAAAGAAGAGAGAGAGAGAGAGAGAGCAAGACACAGAGAGATAGAGAGAGAGAGAGAAAGAGAGCTGGCAGACGCGCTCGGAAAACTGGCATGGGTTTTTGGAGGCTGGCAGTTGAACACTGAAACGTCAGATATGACTCCCAGATACTGCTGAGATGATCATTAAGGGAGACTTAGATCGGATGGCAGAAGACATCGGGCATGCAGGTAAGAGCCGAACCGCTCAGGCAGCGACACGCGGGGGGGAGGAAGGATGACATTCATGCGGTCCGGTTCAGAACCGGCAGCAGCTTTGTCTTATTTTCTTTATTTGATTTTTCTTTTATTTATTATTATTGTTTCTTGTTAAAGTCAGTGTACATTCTGCTGCGTTTTTGTTCAAAGTCGAAGTTGATCAACAACACAGAGGTTGTCCTCTTTATCACACATTAGACAACCTAAAGATAGTCGGATTTTTTATTATTAACGGAGAATATTGCATTCGTAAGATAATGCGGATAATTCTTACGTGCGTAAGAATGAACGCTGTCATCGAAAATGACGTAAAGACGAGTAACATATTTAATTCTGCATTTTCAACATCCCATCGTGTATTATTTTCAAACAATTTCTTCCCCTCCATCGCTTTTTTAAAAAAAAATTATTATTAATATTATTATTAATATTATTATTTAACGTAACATTAGTCATGTTGTTGATTTAATATAGCGAGAACGACGTTCATGCGCAGCGTAGCGCACTCTTAGAGAAAACAATAATTGGGTTTCCTTTGGCTAAAGCGAGATTTGAAGGAACTTCTTAGGTGTTGATGACACGTCTGAAGCTGCTTTCAGCAACATTCTCAGTGCATAATAAGTTGACACGTTTTTTTCCCCCTCTCTTTCTTTCTTTTTTCGCTAGCGATTCTACACTTTCTGACATTTCATTTGTGAGCTTGGATGGGAAGAGGTTGGGGATGGGTTCGGATCAGAAAGCTGGGTTCACTCGTGATTCGGTTTACTGCACAATAAACGAAGCGGAGTAAAACAGATTAGGGACGGAGGCTGAGAGGAGCGCTGCCTCCCTGCGACCCCCGGAGCCTGGAGCCTGGAGCCCTCTCTCTGTCTGTGCTGAGTGCGCCTTCTCCGGCTCTCAGACGGGGGTCATTCCCTTTCTCAACGAATTCACAAACACACCAAAATTGGATTTTAATGAATTGGAAATCGCACTCGAAATGGGAGATTGAACGAGTAAATGGAACAAATCGACAGTTATTCAGACATTGGCTCTGCTCTGGGTTTGCCTGGACGGAAATCGCAGGTTATAAATTAACGTGATGGTTTTAGCATTCTCGTCTGTCACTGCGTTTATTCCTGGTGAAATTAACATGTCCCTTTTAAACGGCATCTCAGACATCTGTGAGGAGTTTTTTAGATGCGTTGACATTAAAAGCAGGAAACTGATTCTGATCTCTGCTGACCGGACTTGAACTCTTCACAAGAACTTTCTTTTTAGTGCTTATATGTACACTCAGATGGCTGCAGCTGATGTTAAATCTTAGAACATTTGCTTGTGTGCTGCAGAAAATAAAAATAAAACAAGTACTAAATGAGCAGAGTTAAATAAGCGTGGCTAAATTCAAACGAAATGTCAATGTTTCGAACAGATGTCAGGGCTAGGAGTCTTCTTTTTTTTTCTTTTTTGCTTCTCTCCATACCCACAAAATTACAAAAGCGGAACGTTAATGCAATGCAAATAGCAGAATATCATCTTCATATACCACTTCACAGTTCTATAAATTTCTTTTTGCATACTGTGATTAAAACTGTGACTATGCCATTTTTCATTTTTATTTTTTGCATGAAGGTCACATTGAGATATATATATATTTTTTTTAAAGATGTGGGCTTTTTAAGCAGCTAAAGATTAAAAAAACAAAACAAAGCAAAACTTGGTATCTCCATGGTTAGACCACATTTATCATGCTTGTTGTCACCACAACACATAGCCCAGAATAATGTGCTGTACGCACAACATCATTTAGGTGCACACACAGTGCTGTTGAGGTTGAGCTTTCTTTAATATCCATCCTCATAAATAAAAGTCAGTGCAAAAAGAGAGACTGTTTTTCTTTTTTGTTTGCTTCCGATGCAGCCGTTGCTTGATGCGCCGGCCTGCTGCTTGAGAATGCACACTGATGGTATCAGAGTTTGACACCAAGCGATAATGGGCTGAATGGAGTGGAGAGAGAAAATTTCAGCAAGTCTGAAAAGTTGAGCCACACTTTTATCTAGTTCACTTCTACACCCAGCGCGTCCGACGGACGCTGTGAAGTAGAGAGGCAACAGAAGCAAGACAGAGAAAGAAGTAATCAGAGGTGTGAACATATGTAATGACAGTGACCTCACAGAGTCTGATCCAACCTGGGCGTTCATTCTTTGTCATCTCTTGGTATTTATTGTCATAATCAGGCTGTTTATAGACAAAAAAAAAAAAAAAAAAAAAACATGCTGGAGTTTTTGTAAGATAAAGATGCATTTTGAAATTCTCGTTACAACTGCCACTCCTCACTGTGACTGACTTTCCATTTTGTCATTTGTCATGCTGAAGGTGCCCTTGCAAAAAAAATAAAAATAATTAAGAAAATCATCAGAAACAGTGCTAAGAATTCCCCACAAGTTTCAAGAGTCTAATCTGCACTTTTTTTTTAAGGATAAAAATCAGCATGAGATTTTTTTCTTCTTCTTCGTCTTCACGAGTTCCTCCTCTTATGAGTTCACTCGTCAAGGTTTTCTAAAAGTTCATACTTCCTCGTTCTTATTCTGAGAGCTCGCGCTGCGGGTGAAATAAACAAGAAGTGAATGAGCTGGTGTCAGGAAGACTGCGATCAGACGGATGACATGATATTTATTTAGTTGCTTGTTTCCCCATCAGTGACACCAAGGCCCCTGGGGGACGACTGGAGATGTTTAATCTCAGAAGTAAGCTGTCCTCGGATGCCACTGCTTGAACAATACGGCTCTTTTCATGCATTTGGACTGCGTCGTTTATTTTAGGCCCGATGGAACAATCAGTGTTGATGTTTAAGTGCGTGCGTTTGTGTGTGTGTGTGTGTGTGTGATTCCTGGAGTCCGTCTCAGTGCAAAGTATCGAACCGTCTAACGCTGATTTACACCTCGTGTGCTCTGTGGTCCTTATATGACTGAGGAGAAAGAGCGAGCTGGAGCTCTCTCTTTTTTTGGACGCGTCCTTCCTCCCCGCCGGTTTATACCTGCTGTTCATCACACTTGTGAAACATTCGTCTCTCGCTTTGTGTAAAGCTCCGCGCTTGTTCCTCTGGAATACCTTTAGCAGGAAGCTGGCAATTTACAGAATAGATGTATATCTGAGGTTTGGGTAACTCAAGCTCTTTCTCTCCACTTTGCTCGCCGAGTAGGAGGTCAACGCACAGACTTGAATTTCTGCTAATGAGAAAACCATTCCTGGTGCTCACCTTCGGCAAAAAGTTCACTGTTGCTGACTGGCCCTCGTGGACGCGTCCCACACACTTTCCTTTCATTCCCGTCAGGTGGAGTCAGATGAAGTTTCAACCTAAATCATAAAACGCAAAATTAAAAAGTGGCTATTAAAAATCTGAATTTTGTGGCCTACTTCTCAACTGTTGCAAAGCTGTTTTGGCCAATTTGGATTTCTCTTCAAGAAATGTAATAAGAGAAAAAATAAAAATAAAAAAATAAATATATATATATGCCGCTCTGGAAAAAAATTAAGAGACCACTTAAAATGATGAGTTTCTCCGATTTTTACTTTTTATATTGATATGTTCGAGTAAAATGAATATTGCTTTTATCCTATAAACTACAGACAACATGTCTCCGAAATACCAAGCAAAAATTAATTTTGTATTTATTTGTAGAAATTGAGAAACGAACAAGATGCAGTGCTTTCAGACCTCAAATAATGCAAAGAAAACAAGTTCATATTCATTTAGAAACAACAATTTGAAGAGTTCAGAAATCAATATTTGGTGAACAACCAGGAGGCTTTTCAATGGGGTTCAGAGCAGTGGGCTCTTCATTTGTCCCAGAGCTGTATGTGTTTTAAGTTAGAAAAAGTCATTATTTAAATTAGAAGAGACCACGGGACAGCAGTCTGTGAAAAGATAAAGATAAACTGTAGAGTGTACATTCAAAGCTTTCTTTAGCATTTTATGTTACCCATTAGCAGGGTTAGCGTCACTAAACTTAACTCTGAGATTTTGAAAAGAGCTGCCTGTATGTTCAAGTTCAACATGTTTCCCGAAAGATAGATTTTGAAAACCCAAAAAGATAAAAAATAACAACTTCGTTCTATTTTTTACAGCCTTACTGTGAACTGCTATTAACCTTGCTCTTTCGAGACCTGAATGAACTCCAAAGAATAAAATAGAATAGCTTAAAATAGAAATATCCTTTATTGTTCCACGGTGGGAAAATTCAGGTGTAGCGGCAGCAAAGTGACAGGATATCGAGGCACGCAGATTCATGCAAAGTATTAAAAACAGAGAAAATAAATGAAGAGTGATAATACTGCAGGGCAAGGATGAGATTCTAAGACCAAATAGTGTGCAGTTATCAGAAAAAAGCATCCACTGACCCATTTACCTTCATACATCTGTGTGTGCACCTCACTGATACTGGAGAAGGCTAACAGCAGCAGCTTTCACTTCAAAGTGTTGTTGATACAACAATCTGCAAGTGTTTATGCATGGTGTGTTCACTGATCGGAAAAAACATCAGAATTTTTTACCTTCCAACCTGTCGAGCTGAAAAGCAGCATGCTCTGTGCACCCATTTCTGTAATTGTAACGATAACTTTAACTTAAAATGCATTCATGTGCTAGAAATCAAACTCTCATTAATCCAATATGCAAAATAATTTATTTTTTTAAACATTTTTTTCGATTTATTCATGTTGTTGTGTATGCCCTTTTTTTGCTGACTTCAGGACGACAACGTCTGCATGAAATTTTACAGATTTTTGCTCTTGCAGGTGGTGGACTGAAGACTATGCTGGATGCCATGGAAGTTCCAAGTCATGCTAGGGATCTCCTCCTGCAGCTTAACAGCCAGCGCACCAAAGGCTTTCTGTGTGATGTCATCATTGTGGTGCAGAACGCGCTCTTCAGAGCTCACAAGAACATTCTGGCCGCCAGCAGCCACTACTTGAAGTCCCTGGTGGTCCACGACAATCTCATCAACCTCGACCACGAGATGGTGAGTCCAGCCGTCTTCAGGGTCATCCTGGACTACATCTACACCGGGCGCCTAAGTGAGGGAGACCCCACGTCTCCCACTGAACCCAATCTAGGTGCCGTCTTGGCAGCGGCCAGCTATCTGCAGCTGCTTGACTTGGTGGCCCTGTGCAAAAAGAAGCTGAGGAGAACTGCGAAGTACCCTCCCCGTCCCGCATTTTTACCTTACCCAAAAATGGTGCCCAACAGCATGGGCTTAGGAGGTGGAGGCAGGTTTAGGGTTTCTACTCCTGTGATTCAGTCCTGTCCTCCGGGGGGGATTCTTAACACACCCAGGGCGCCGTCGCTGGATGAGCTGGTCCCCCATCGAATAACCATCCATAGCGGTGAGCTGTATGCCCCCACTTCCAACCAGACCTCTCAGGTGTTCCCATCTCTGCCTGCTCAGCTGGGACGCCCTGGCCACGCCGAGAGGAACTGCTCCCCCAGCTTCGGCCTCGATCTTTCCAAAAAAAGCCCCACCTCCCAGTCTCAGCACACACCTTCTCAAACCCATATGGCAAACAGTCACAGCAATGAGGAGAGGGATGGAACTCTAAGTGGAGCCACTAGTCCCATTCAAGGGGCAAATGGGAGAGCTTTTATGTCCGAAAAGATGGAGTCTGTCGAACAGGCAGGTTCCCTCACCCCTCCACCTTTTCCCCACCTAAATCAGCCCTTAGCCCCCCACCTGCCTCATCTACATCGCTCAGGTTCCCAAGGGACAGACCGCTACCCATGCCCCGCCAGCCCTGACACCCCGACAGAAGGTGGAGAGGCAGGAAGAGAAATGGGAAACATCTACCGCTGGGTGAAACACGAGCCCCTGCCGTATGCTGGGGAAGATGAAGACGAGGATGAGGATGAAGAGGAAGGGGCTGAGAACGGGGACCAGCATCACAATCATCACAAGCCAGGGGAGGAGAGCGAAGGCGTGGACGACAAGAGTGGCTCGGGCACGGAGGAGACGGGCAGCAGCGAGGGCCGTCCATCCCCTACTGGCCCCATCGGGAGATTCCACATGCCGTACGAGCCCGAAAGCTTTGGGGACAATTTGTACGTCTGCATCCCCTGCGATAAAGGCTTCCCGAGCTCAGAGCAGCTCAACGCACATGTGGAGACGCACACAGAGGAGGAGCTGTACAGCTCTGTTGGGGAGATGGGGAACAACAGCGGCACCAAAGGCATTGGCGGCAACACGAATGGTTACGGAAGCCTCAACAGCGGCAACACTCCAAACAACATGTCGCATCTGGAGACCAAATCTGACCAGGGCCTGAATTCGGGAACCATCGGGGAGATGATCAGACCTTACCGCTGTTCCAACTGCGACAAATCTTACAAAGACCCGGCTACGTTGCGCCAACACGAGAAGACTCACTGGCTGACGCGGCCTTACCCCTGCAGCATCTGCGGCAAGAAGTTCACACAGCGTGGCACCATGACGCGCCACATGCGCAGCCACCTGGGCCTCAAGCCTTTCGCCTGCGATTCATGTGGGATGCGCTTCACTCGCCAGTACCGCCTCACTGAGCACATGCGCATCCACTCCGGGGAAAAGCCCTATGAATGTCAGGTGTGTGGTGGGAAGTTTGCCCAGCAGCGCAACCTCATCAGCCACATGAAGATGCACAGCGGTGGGGGGACTGGAGGTGGCCTGACGGCAGATGGGAAGCTGAAGCTGGACTTTGCAGAGGGCATATATCCCCTGAGCAAGTACGCAGCAGAGCACCTGGGGCTGAAGCAGGAGAAGGCCAATGAGCTTCTCATTCAAGCGCAGCAGCAACTGGTGGCAGACGCAAAGGCCATCGAGAGCCTCTACCCGCTCACCAAGCTTGCGTCGGAGCATCTGGGCCTCACCCATGAAAAGATGGACATCCTGGGCCAACCACTTCCCCCTCCTCCCCAGCCAATCTCTGACAGCCGAACCATTGACCGCTACTCGCCCAGCTAAGACATTTGGCAATCACAGACAGGTCTGCGCGCACTCACAGTTTGCAGTATTCGAAAGCCATTCACCTCAACTCCATATCTTCCTCTGCACCTCAGACTCAGGCCCGGGTGGAACTGGGCCTGCTCATGCACACCAAACTGTTTGGACTGTAAGTGCCTTTCTATGCATCTAATGTATCTTTTTAAATCCTCCTTCATAAAGGAGCTCTACTTTCTGTGACCAAGGGACACTCGAAAGAACTTCAGTATTTATGTACAGTCTATGCAAAGAAACATGTTTCTTTTTCTTAATTCCAACCATTGAGCCATAGTGACTAAATCAAAACCAAAAGGAAATTTGTTTATTTATTTTTGTATATGATGAAATCCAAAGAAAACATGTTGCAGAGATACTTTGCAATCTGACCCTAAACCTGTGTACTATTCATGTATGAAAAGAAAAAGAAAAAAGCACAAAAGGAACAATATGCAGGACTTCTTTTCAATATTCAGAACTTTTCAGGTCTAAACAACATCAAGAAAAAAGCAACTCACCTGGATTTTTATTATTATTATAATTTTTTTTTGTACAATCTTGGGGTACGGGATACTTTGTGTGTCTTGTTTCTTTGCTTGTCTCCCCCTTTTATGTGAAATAGCTGAAACACAATGCATTTCTCTATGCCTTTTTTTTCTCCGCTTCCAAGCGAGGGGCGGGGCTTTGTGCGGATAAATGCTCATCCCTTATGTGACAGCAGCGGTGGCTTAATCGGCTTTACACCCGGCTTTCAACCACTCTTGAGCTAAAGCTTCCTCTGCAGTGTGACAAATGTTCCTTTGCTTTCAGCTGTTTTGGAGATGCACTGAGCAGAGCCCTGTGATCTCATGAGTGGGACATGATTGCACATACCCAGCTGATGACACACTAATCCCTGTTCATGACGACTCGCCTGTGTTGGTTTGTGCTTTTGTAGAAACGGAGAGGCAGAGAGGCATACGCCGGGGCTGAATTAGTGACGAAGGAGTCTGTCACTGACTGACAGACATTGTTTCTATTTTAATAATTGAGTGATGATCACCAGTGGTCAGAGGCCTCGTTGTGGACGCTTCCTTAGATTCCAGGGGCTGCATGATGGAGCACTGAGCAACACTGAACCTCTCTCCTCCCTCCCCCACCTGGTTACCTCATTACTTCCAGTCAGTGTAAAGTAACAGGTGTCTATGTATAAACTCCAAATCTTAGAGCAAAACTATTTTAATTTTTCTTCTGTAAGTAAGACTTTTTGGTTTCAGTAATGTGAATCTGTGACATTTTTTACTCAGTCTAATGATTTCATGAGTGTTCTCATTAGCGATGGAAATCTTTCGATTCTATTTGATTCCAATTGTCATGGTCACGATTCAATTCAGAAGAGTTTTTTGAAACGGGAACCAATTTTTCCACTCACACGGTGTGGAGATTGTATTTAAATGATTTGCCTGATAAGAGAAAAAGATTTATTTAAAGCATTTCTTTAATATTACAAACCGCATCAAATCTAATCCGTTTGTGTATCCACACAAAAATAGGGTGTGTGCATAAAATTAATTTACATTAGGTTAGCTTAGCTGCCTGGCTTTTTCTTAAATAAAAAAAATGGTCCAAGAATTATTCTAAATACTTCCGAGCAGCATTTAAAACGCACTTTAAAATCAAGTTTTGATCATTTTGAATCGATTCATTATTCCCAGGAGTAGGAATTGCGATTCTTTATAGAATAATTTTTTTTCCTGCACCTCTACTTCATACTGGCTCATGGCTTCTCATCCCTCTCATTTTTTCAGCATTGTTGTGGCCCCCTTGCCTTATAAGCACTCTACCAACTTAGAGGGATGATGTTCCCTTTCGCACACAGCAGGCAGCTAATCTGTCAGCAACACGATCAGAAGAAAGCAGCCTGTTGTGACTCTTCCCTGAAAAAGCCGGTGGGGTGAACAAGCACTCCCCCAGCTGCTGTCTCCAGTAAATCCCTGTGAAATCCCACTTTCTCCTGGACAATTCACACTTGCTTGCCGGCATGATGTCCCATTTCACGCCTGCCATCTCACTCTTCTGATCCACTGTAAAACGTTACAACCAAGCCCCAACTGTCTCCTCTTGCCTCTCTGCCTCTCCCCCATCAGCCCCGCTCAAGCCAAAGTTTTGAGATAAAAACTTATTTCGTGACCGAGGAATTCTTCCAACTTGAAAACACAAACAGCACTTAAAAAAAAAGTTGTGTTTTGAAGGCACTTTTTTTTTTCTTTGTCTGCAGTTCTTTCTACCAAAGAATATGTTGGCCGTTTTTTTCTTTTTATAGCTAGTCCTTGATTTAGATTAGGAAAAAACAAAAAAATTGACCACTATAGTGCCAACGCCAACCTCTGGAGGTGAATGTGAAGACTAAAGCCATAAATACACTGTGACAGAAGTAGTTATTCTGAAAGCCTTAAAGTAAAAAAAAAAAAAAAAAAAAAAAAAAAAAAAAGGCCCCCCTTTTTGGGATTTTTTTTTTTTTTTTCAAATGTAACAATAATTTAAGGGCGTCTCTTCCAGTAGCATATGATCATATCGAGCATGCTTTATCTTGTGACTTTCTGTTCTTGTCTTCTTTTTGATTTGTGGCGCACATTAAAATAAGAAAGGAAAAAAACAAACAAACAAAAAGACTGGTGCTTACCTCAGGACTGAACCCAGCTAAGATTTTGTAAACCTTAGCCCAAAAATATCAACCACCCCCCAACCCCATGACAAATACACCTTTTTCTTTACTAATGGGAAAGCAGTCCCTGTTTTTAAACCTGTGGTTTTTCTTCGTGTTTGAACATTACCTTTCCTATTATAGCTTTATGGGTGAAGAGATTACATGTGATGTTATGTTTTGCTTTTTCATATATAGTTATTGTCGTCCTCAAAGAGGCGCTTCGTTTGACATGTTTTACTTCTACACCATTAGAGGCTGTAAATGTTTGTGATTTTTAATAACTGGGTATACACGGTTTGCGTTTTTATTTTACTTTTTTCTAAATTGTCTTTAGCCACATATACGGCAATATCTAGGTGACAAGTGCTGTGTTTTGAAATATCTCCCCCACCCACAAAGACGTGATGTGATGCCTCATCAGCACTTCCTTAAACAGAACCGGCAGTATCTCGGAAACTAACCTCACGTCGCTCTGCCCCCTTTTTCTCCTGAAGATGTTGAACTTTTGACACCGGCCAGACAGAGGTCGCGCTCGCGCAGAGGAAGCCGGCTTGTTCGTTCTCGGTCGCCTGGTGCCTTCAGCTGAGCTCTGTGACCAAAAAACCTAAAACGACTGCTCGAAGGGCTCTCGGTGGTAGAAAAAAAACACGCTCCATAAACAAGTGCATGTGTCGTAAAATGTAGGAACAAGCGGATGTGAGTCGTGGGAATTCGAGGCTCCTTTGCTCTCTCTCATTCACTGGCTCAAGTGAAAATCCAACTTCTTGCCAGCACCACCAAAATAACACGATACGTTTCCACTTCAAATCTGCGCTGAGCGGAAACGGAAAGATAATGCTTGAATTTTTTTTTTTTTTTTTTTTTTTTTTTTTTTCCCGGACTCACTCTTGGAAATTTTTTTCTTCTCCTTATCATGGGGCCCCAGACCCCGTCGGCAC